TTCTGCTGTTCATCATAGACACACAAAATGGAAATCATTTTCAGTTACCACACATTACAGTACTGTAAGGTAGAACAAGGGACAGTTACTTTCTTGAACTACACTTCTCAGAATCCATGGCTTATCAGAATTTTTTAAAAAACTTCCAAAGTTTTGCATAATGTAATTTATACACAGCTTCTAGGAAGTCTGGGAGTGTTCACTACAGTGCTTTGCCTCCTAATCGGGACAAGGCATAGGGAACATCCTACTCCAGATTATACAGGAAATTGTTCAAACCAACCTATGTAATCGCCTACATTTGCGAGAAATAGAAGCCATAAACTTTGCATTGGTGTGGACATAGCTCATAGTGAAGGATCATAGGAGCTGCAATCCAACAAAATCTGGAAGATCCACCGAATGCAATCAGCCATGGAGTCAGGAGACATAACCATGTGTAAACCCCTTTAAAGGGAATAAACTATTCTGTTAATGAAGATAAGATTGTTGGATTCATTAGACAGACTAGTGACATAGTGACTGGGAGACAAGCAAATGGAAGTTGGAGTTGAAAACTCCAACTAGTAGGAACCATTTCAAGAAACATCAGAATATAAGAAGAGCCCTGCTGGACCAAGCTGAAGGTCCATCTAGTCCTGCTTCCTCTTTCTCACAGTGGCCCCACCAGATGCCTCTGGGAGCACATGAGACAACTAGATGCCTGTTTCCTGATACCCCTCCCCTGCATCTGGCATTTTGAAGTATCTTCCTTCTAAGCCTGGAGATTATAAACCCCCATCATGGCTTGTAATCTATGATGGACTTTTCCTCCAGAAATCTGTCCAATCCCCTTTTAAAGGCATCTAGGTCAGATGCAATCACCACATCCTGTGGCAAGGAGTTCCACATACTAAAATATGCTGTCAAGAAATATTTCCTTTTGTCTGTTCTCACTCTCCCAATGCTCAATTGGAGTGGATGTCCCCTAGTTCTGGTACTGCATGAGAGGGAAGAGCTTCCCTCTATCCACTTTATTCATCCTCTGCATAATTTTATACATCTCAATCATGTCCCCACTCAGGCACTTTTTCTCTAGACTAAAGAGCCCCAAACACTGTAGCCTTTCCTCATAAGGGAGGTGCCCCAGCGCAGTCATCATTTTAGTTGGTCTATTCTGCACCTTTTCCAGTTCCTAATTCCACAGTCCAGTTGATTCAGAAAGACTGCTTCAACCGGACTGTGGATTAGGCATCCTACCCACACCTCCAAGAATCAACCACTTACTCAGTGATCAGGTAGGATACTCAAAGCTTGCTTTTTTCCCCATCTCTTCCTTCACTTTGATAAAGTCTGCTCCAGCCTCCTACATTCTTTTTCCAGCTTCAGAAGAAACTGTTTCCCTCCCCTTCCACCCATGTATCCTTTCTGGTACAGGTCTTCCTACCAAGTATTAAGGTTTTGCTGATTCCCTTTTTAAGAACTTCTCTTTCCACCAGACTTAAGTTATCTTTCTCTTCTGTCTTCCTGTTCTCTGATATCAAACCTGGGCCTGGGGCACTCTCTCTCTCTTTAGAGATCTACATCCATCATCAGTTACTTTCTTTTACTCAGCTTTCTGACTCTTGCCAGGGAGATCCAAAACGTTTGGTTCTCAAATGAGAGCAACTCAACTAATACCCTTGTACAGTAGCAGAATTTATTTTTCTCCTTCAACTTAGAGGGTTTCATGGATTAGGTGCATCTAATTATGCCAATAATGACATAGATTTTCAGGTTGCATATTCCATTGTATTCATTCATTCATTCATTCATTCCATTTATACCCCACCTATCTGATCAATTGTGACCACTCTAGGCGGCTAATTTAATTTACATTCATTTTGTTGATTCACTGCATATTCTTTTTATAGTCTAATTCCTTCTTAAAATGAAATATTGTTATTTTTGTTAATTTTAGATCACTCTCAGTCACTCCAACTGAGAAGTTATTTCTGTTTCAGATGTTACATTCTCATAGCCCAGGTTTGAGAGAGAATAATGATTCTTGGTAATTAGAATTTTACCCCGAATCTATGCTCTGGCCATCCAATCTCCCCTTTCAAAACTGCAATACTGTACATCCAGTGGATACAGCTGCTGTTGGATAGCACAGCTGTAAAATTCAGAAAAAGTGAACTATTCCACCTGTATTCCAGCTTTAAGTGGCAGGGAAATGAAGACACAGCAGCTGCGAGGGCATCAGGAGAGCATCAGTAAGGAAAGATGGAATTGCCAACTGGTACGAAACTCTGAACCTAGAGAACAGATTTTGGCTAAACCAGCTGAACTCTTGTACCTTTTCAAGTCTCTGCAAATACCGTGTTTCTCCGAAAATAAGACAAGAGTCTTACATTAATTTTTGCTCCAAAAATGCATTAGGTCTTATTTTCAGGGCATATTTTAAATTTTTTCATGTTAATTTTTGCTCCAAAAATGCATTAAGTCATTTTCAGGGCATATTTTAAATTTTTTATGTACAGAAATCTACATTTATTCAAATACAGTCATGTCATCTTCTTCTAGTAGCTACACATTGGTGAAGGGCAGGGTTTCACTTAATTGCAGCTTATTTTGGGGGTAGAGTTTATATTACAAGCATCCATAAAAATCATACTAGGGCTTATTTTCAGGTTGGATCTTATTTTGGGGAAAACAGGCTATAAACTAGCAAGCATCTCTGATTACAGGAAATGTCCAATTGTCTACAATGCAACATTAATTTGTCCTTTCTTTTTAATTACCGATTCGCTCCATATCCAATGTGTCTTCATGATTTTAATATCTAATAGGTTTTCCAAGCATTGGAGGTTTTAAACATTACATTTTTATCTTCTGAAATGAATTATCAGTTTTAGAAGACATAGCTGTGTAAGTCCCTGCTAGTATATCAGGCAAAAGTAAAAGAAAAAAAATAAAGAAGACAAAAATGTTGTGGCACCTTAAAGACTAACTGCTATATTTTAATGTGAGCTTTTATGGCCCAGTCTATGGGTCTGAGGAAGTGGACCCATCCATGAAAGCTCACACTAAAATATAGAAGTTAATCTTCAAGATGCCACATTTTCATCTTCTTTATTTTTATTTTTGCCTGATATATTACCAGTTGTGGCAGTGCAGTAAGAATGCTATTCTTAGAGTGTAAAATTTGGGTCACTCTGTTCAGTTTATTTAAAACTTTAGGTTGTTTGGTTTTGGACAACCAAAGGATTGGCCCGTATTGTAAGCCAAACCCAACTGATTCCACTTGTTCTTTAAAGAATCCAGTTGTCAACAAATGAGAAAAGCAAACAATGCTACTTTTTCTATATAATCTTTGAGGTTGATATAATTGTACTGATTGCAGAGTTACCAGCTGCACAATCTACCTAAAAACCAACACAACAGCCACTGCTTTAATGGTTAGGGTGGGCGTGTACTCTCATCTGACAAACGAAGTTTATCTTTTCAGTGTCACAAACCACAGAAAGTATATACCTGTCCATTTCATAACCTAAAATTACACCGGCATCAGTTGCACAATTCGAGTGAATTGTCCTCCCACGAGTTAATTATCGCCGTACAGCAAGTACTTTGGCATAGTAGATTAGACTTTTCTTAAAACTCCAATTAAAAATTTTAAATTATTGCGTCTCGAATGATTTCCTATGCCAGGATTTTGTTTGTTCAGAATGTCTCCGTGCCTTTGCACTGAAGTGTGTGCTTTGTCTCTTTGGGCGCTTTTTTTCCCTTGTAAAAAGGGCAGCCCAATTCTCCAGGGAATAAAGTCCTATTGTATTCAGTGGGCTTTGTTCCCATATAAGCATGTGGAGCGGGGGTGGGGGGGGCTGCAAACTGACAAGATCTCATTGGATAGGTTGTGTTTTTATGAATGAAGCAATTTCCCAAAGCCGTGTGCTTTTCAAAAATATGAATAGTTTAATTAAAACCCATCAGAATTGCCCCACACCGTTGCTAGATTTCTGCCTTTGATGTGAGCAGAAATCTGTGCCTCTGTGTTCCCCAGCTCTTGGACAGGTGCATGCCAGTTTTCAACGAGGGGAGGAACAAAGCGATCTGGAAGGCATCATGTAGGATGAGAAATAGATTGGGAGGAGGGCGGGAGAGGAAAACCCAGGGGGGAAAAACAGAAGGGATCCGTTTTCTCGGAGCGGATTTCGCCTGGTGTTTCAGAGAACAGATGGCGAGGCGGTGGGGATGGCTCTTTACAAATCAATC